TCCTGTTTTAGTGGATTTGCCAGCAGCCACTGGCAACATCACTTGGTAAGCCCTATTTCCTGACCTACCAGCGACCTGAATTTTGCATCTTTCCTGATTGTACCGTCCCCACCAGTGACTTAATACCTTCTAGAACAAGGTTACACAATTCCTAATTCGGTATCTTCTTCCATCCTTGGAAGAAATCACTCTTCGGAAGGGGAGTGTAAGTTATACAAATATTTCACGGATTAATGCATCTGTGTGGACCGTCGCGTGCCGTAACGTTCTGAAATAACTGTGAGAATAAAAACTGCACGTGGGCTGTTTACCATTGTATCGCTCGCACAAGCGGGTCGTATGTTCCCACGCGGGTTAGAAAATACAGAATTCGCACTACCTGACAACCCTCTCCGTACCGACTAAGTGGAGGAGAAGGCGGAGTGACAGCACATAGCTATCTGGCAGTTAGGCCTTTCTTCCACCCCATGATACCGCCCGTTTTTCTAATGCGGTCCACCTCCTCGAGATCGCAATAGAGATATGGTACTGTTTACCTGGCCATTTGGTTTTAGTTAGCTAGCTAGGTCTTGTAAAACCTTGTCAATAGCTTGTACTTCCAAATGACGGATCATTAATCATCCGCGGTACACTCGCTGATCGATCGCTCCAATCTAAGCTGCTGTTGTGCGTTTTCTCATCAGCTAGACACTGATACGGTCTAAAGCTGAACGCAGCCATTCAAGTTATCAAGTGTAAAAACTGTATTACTCCAGCTTATGTACAAGTGTTGGAGGATTGAGTCAAATAACTAAGTATTCCTCATAGATGGTAAGCCAGCGAGTCCGTATGTCCCAGTGAATGATTGCTCTGAAAAGACAACCTTGTAGCTTAGTGCTTTAGAAAGGTAACACGTGCGTAAGTACGGCACCCAAGCTGCACCAATTCAAATAAGCAGCAAAGCTTGTTGAGAAAGCAACAATTCCGAGTGCAGCTCCGGTTAATGGTTCACTTTCACACCGACCGTCGAGGATGGATGTATCGCAACTCTCACCTCGTACCTGTTAGGTATCTTGTTACGACATGATCTCATACAGAAGAGTTAAAAAGGACGTGAAATCTCATGTCAACCTGGGTTGAATTGTGGATAGAAGCATATGATGGATACACTGCTGCTGCAAAACGCCTCCAGTGAAGTAATAAATCAAGATAAACGTGCAACGTGCTTTAATTTTCATTCAAATGGTGAATTGTCGATGTGAATTTTTTGGCGAAAACTGTGGATATCTTTGATTCTCCCCATCTTATGATTGGATCTCGTGACCCCTGATATTGATAGTGCTGGTTGAAGATTTATGTTCGGTGAAACCCACACACGCTGTGTAGAAGACGGTTTCAGTGTCATAATGCCGATATTAGGGTCAACTTTTCTGGATGATATCTCAGCTAGTTGGGTTCAGTATGTTAACAAATTGCACCTGTTTGCACCTAAGTTGCGTCGATGGACCTAGCACCCCGAGGAGAATACAAGGACAGAGAAAGGACAGAGAAAGAACAGAGTACCGATAGTTTTCTACAAAGCGATCTGCTACGGTTCCATCATATGCGATTTTCGTTGAGTCTCTCAGACTGGTTTTGACGGGACTCTTCAAGTGGTCACCACAGAGAGGGGCAACTTATAGGCCATTAAAAACAAGCGTCAACTGTGAGGCAGAATACCTGAGGAGGTATACATGTGTGCAAAACTAACCTTTGAAGAATCGTTTGTAATCAAACAACATGGTGAATTGCGGGCTTTTCGCCTTCAAATCAAAATCCCACGTCTGAGGCATATTCCATTCACGTGGATAGTGCATCAGCAAATCAAGATCCAGTTGCCGAGTACGTAAGACATCAGACCATAAATGCTGAGCCGCAATTCCACCTTGAACCAGATTGATCCGAATACGGGTACGAAATCCATCGATTCCAACCAGCCACGGTATGTTGAGCCTGACTGAAGAGTCAGGCAATGCACTCAGGTGCAGCGTCTATCAGGTATAGAGAGATGCGTCGGAAGGACTCAAATAGAACGGTACTGTGACCGGTACAGTAGAAACTTTTCGACTGTGGATGAATATGGTTAAAAACAACGACAATTACAAGTACTGATCCACACAGCTAGGATAATCACAGAGCCATCGTTTGATTCGTCGGGTATATCACGCGAGATGGCCCAAGTGGTTAGAGCGCGAATTTACTGACTGGAAAGTCCGTGGTTCGAATCCAACCTCCGTCTCTCGACTTCCCCTGTCTAGGCTTGGGTGACCTGGCAATATCCCAGCCCTCGTGCTTCCTTCGGGTAGCACGGCAGCTAGGCACCGGAAGGGTGCTAGAGCTGAACGCTTTCTTCTTTCGGGCATATCACGTACCTCTCAACCATGAAGACGACCGCCTGTCTAGACTGCACAGGCGAAGAACATGCAGTGGGCAGCGGTGGAACAGCTTATCTTGCATAATGGAAGAGAGGCTGTCGAATCCGTGTGGCGGATGATACTCGCTTCTGACGGTTTCTGATAGGAGCGAAATCCTACCACCGTACTAAGGTAATCAGCTCAATGCAACATGAGGACTGTACAACTGAGAAAAATTCTGCGACTATCTTGAATTGTCTCTACAAACTTTTCCATCAATTTCCAAAGGTCAAAATATGCTAGGGACCTTGACCTCTGAAATTCCTCTAAAAGGCAAGCTCCCAAATCAACGACCAATGGTGACCGGACAGGAGAGAGTAAAATGCAAGTAGAAAGGAACATGAAGGACAGGTGTTTGGTGGACAGCACTCCCTACCTTGACCACATTTTGCTGGCTAAACAGAAGCTCCAGCTGCAAATTGGTGGCAAAATTGATTTCGACCACCAGCTTTTTTGGAACACGGTACTGGCCAGTCACTGGTGGGTCGCTAATCTTTGCCGGTTGATACGATGGTGGGAAGAAGAAATGCCACAATAGATCCCTGCGAAAACAAAAGAGGAAAAAAACGTGTAGGTGATAAGTAACCCTGAAACTGACAAAAAAGCCGAGGTCTGCAATTACAAGTGCCGTTAGAGGAAGAACAGATGACAGTGTCAGATAAACGAGCAAAAATAGGCTGCATTGGCTCACATGAACCATCAACTTAGATTTTCGATAGATCACGGGAAATGGACACCCGAATCTGTTTGAAAGTCAAGCAAGCCCATAATATATCAGTGGCGCAAAGAGGAAACAAAGTAGTGCATAGTATACTACATAGTCAAGCACGAGGCAAACTCGAAGCGTTTACGTCTAGAGTTGAATTAGTCGACAAATCTACCGATTGTTACCAAACTTTCCGGAAAAACGATGGCTACTTAGTCGGTTCCAAGCGTTTTGCAACTAACTGAACAAACCAGTGGTTGACTTGTGCGAAGTCAAAGTATGAAAATAAGGTGTCAATTTATCGACAATATCAATGAGGGACTTGAGATCCCCGGGTGCTTATTGTTGAGCTAGACAAAAGAAAATAAACGCAGTCGTAAGAGTCCTACTGAAAGGGTAGCATACTGCTAACTTGTGGAAGCATTTTATTCAACATTCCACCTCGTTTTCATTCTGAATGGCGAACTTGTAGCTGATGAGTGGCTAATGCACTGGTGCGAAGTTTTGTTTTTAGAACGATAATCATGCTTGGATTCTGAATTAGGCCGGTTTTGTCCAATTGCCATATCAGACTTCTTCCTGTGACTGACAGAACCGAAATGCCTTATCCGTAATTGCATGTGTACGTACGTACTTTTACTGAACGACTATGAAATTTGAGCCACGTCGCTGACCTACTTGCTTTCTGCTAGAGGCCTGAGCTGCAAGCTGTCCACTCAAGTACGAACCATTTGAATAAACCAGCACAACCCATTATGTTTCGTCAAATAACTACCGTATACGAGTTATTTCGTCCGAAAGCCATTCAGCGTACTTCGGCACTACTAATGCCATTTTCCCAGCGAACGCCGGAGACACACACAGTCAAATAATAAGGGATTTTCAACAACACTAGCTTGTAGGTGCTAGCTTATTTTGCCCAAATAATCATATGGAGCGGCACTGTAAACTCGACCCTTGACGGACAAGCCAAAACTGCGCTAAACATGGTACAAGTTGGCCAAAGCTGCTCTGGCCTGTCCAGAAGGTGGCGACCTCTTTCGCCAAGCCACTAAAATCGATACAGCCAACCAGCTTATGCCACTAAAATCGATACAGCCAACCAGCTTAAAAGATGTGTCTACTATCACCATTTGCACAACTACAAAAATGAGTTTCGGGTATTCCCAGTCTTGTAGCAGCAATGTGAACTATTCATGCCACATGCCAAAACAAGGCACAATTTTTCAGGTTGGCATATCGATGGGGTCAAATCCACGAACAGTTATCTCGTTTGCATGCTCGACATTGTGAGTGGACGGCTCTGAATCCCTTTCGCCCTATTGGCATTACAGGGGGGTAGCGTGTCATATCGATGACACGCTTTCACGCGTTCACCTAAGTTGGCATACAGCACTGTAGGGAGGGGCGAAAAGATATAGGAACCCTTTTCTCCACGTACTATCTCATAAAAAGTATTTTCCAGGCGATAATCACGACATTTACCAGACGTCACTATATTCCAGTTTGGCTGACAAAACGCTCGATTATGTCATCGTCTAAGTTAAATCGTTCGTTTATTGTGTCCCCTAGGTACAGAGCTATCAGGTAACGGAAACAAAGCACGAAGACTGAAAGACAATAACATCTAGGAACCTGGTCTGCTCTAGGTGAAAGCTGGCAGCTTAATATTTCCAGCATGAATAGCACTCAATGGGGACTTCAGCTCGTAGTCAGTGGACGAAAACGATAAGCCGAACCAGACACCACAACAGAACAGATGGCTACTATTAACTACTCACCGCTGACGATCGGCCCAAGGGCCATAGTGTAACTGACAACTTTTTGTGACACAAATGACAAATCTCCAAACCGGCCAAGTTTGACGTACGGTGACATCTCCTCCAGACATGTAAACTTGATCTGGTTCGTTGGAAACAAAACCTATGTGAAAAAAGGTAAATAGGTTTCTTTGAATAACGCGTCCAACGAGAGGTAGTTGGTATTTCGGTGAAAATTCCACAGGTTGCACGAAATTCGTAATTCGATCATAGGCGAACTCCCACATAAAAAGCAGGGCCATATAATAAAAGAAGCCACCTATGATTCATTCGCTTTTGCGACTGTGAATGCCATCCCCACCTGAAAAGGGGCACGGCAATTAATAGACACCTGTCTTGGTAAATCCACCAGAAACTTTCAAAGAGACTCTCAGGGCGGGAACTCTCTGCGATGCCAGGGGAGGCCAAACAATGACTTAGCAGCTAAGTATAAAAGCCATTACCAGCAAACCCAGTTGCGCTGGTCATTGCCGTCTTCCTAGATGGGGACCCCCAGATGGACCATAACAATGGTTAGAGACATTGTCAGACATGGCCCAGTCGCGCCCTCAATGGCGCTCGTGCATCCAAGCTATTGCCTTCAATGCATAGCTCCTTTTCCACCCGACCCCACCCCCACTTGACAGCACCAATCTATCAGCTCCGGTCTCCAATGCGCAGCTACCTACCCCCCGAATCATCGGTGCACGAAACTGTGGCAGCTACAACCACTGTACGACAAGTACGCGGTTATTACAGCGGACAATGATGACACATATAAGTATTGTTAGATACTTTGCACGATATAACACAAAAGTGACGAGGTCACGGGGTATGGATCGCGATCGCCAGTGGTTGAATGAGTACAACAAAAACGGCTAACCTGGCTCATCTTGGATGTATGTAAAATTGCCGCGACCAAAGTGGAAGACGTGAAACGTCCGATCCCAATTTTTCGGTGGTCTGAAAATAGGCACGAGATTTTGGTATGGAATCATTAAAAAGCTTGTTCCCGGAGGGGCTGATTAGCTGCGTACACGGATCTAGGGTGGATTTAACTGGGCAACAAACGGTAGTTAGGAGAGGAAATGCGTAAGTTCCAGTTTGTGGGTAAATTAATGCTCTGACGAGTAAAATGAAAGGGAAAAATACACCGAAGTTCACTGTGAGGGCTCAACAGTGCCTTCGTGTGGGTATAGGGTTTCATGAGGGTGTGTGTAGCGCTTTTAGAGACTACTGGAGACAATGAAATCATCCTGCCCTGAATGAGCAACCTTCGTGAAAACGTCACATACTTCTGCCACATCAAGTAAACTCAAAGCTAGTCCAAACTGAATACAACCGTAATACAATCAAAAAGGGAACACGTAAGGATGAACCAGAGACGTTTACTCACATCGCATGGTAATAAATCAATGCGAACAAATACGACCGGCAAGGAACTTACTCTTCGATCGCATGTTGACCGGCGTACTCAACCACCGGAATCAATGTGCACAATAGGTTACTAAATTCGGCCGACACTTTGTGTTGGTATCTATCTGCCTGATAGGTGGGCTCTCCCAAACTGTAGGTTCCAGTCAATCGCGTACTGCTGAGCATACAAGCTCGTGGGAGCAGATGATTTCCGGCACATATCTTTGTCTGTAGGCATAACAAGTAGAGGACAGTTGAACAAGGTCAATGCAGTTGCGGTGAAAAAAACGGCTTGCAAAACGTAGCGCGAAATGAATTGGAGTATGTTAAGCAGAGGAATATGACGTGTCTTGAGTAGTTTACTCCATTCAGTACAGAAGTGTTGACCAGGATGCTACGGGCCTAACCACAATATACAGTTTATTCGTCTCCCTAACAGGGAATTTTAAACCTAACGCGTTATTTTCACTAAGTACCAAAAAGGTTGTCCTGCACGAGCGGGTATCTCCACAACCAGGGCTACCAAGTGGGAGGGGTGTGCTTGATCACTCTATGTTAAGCGAGGAATATGACGCGTCTTGAGTAGTTTACTCCATTCAGTACTACTCCATTCAGGATGCTACGGGCCTAACCATAATATACGGTTTATTCGTCTCCCTAACAGGGAATTTTATGTCTTGAGTAGTTTACTCCATTCAGTACAGAAGTGTTGACCAGGATGCTACGGGCCTAACCACAATATACAGTTTATTCGTCTCCCTAACAGGGAATTTTAAACCTAACGCGTTATTTTCACTAAGTACCAAAAAGGTTGTCCTGCACGAGCGGGTATCTCCACAACCAGGGCTACCAAGTGGGAGGGGTGTGCTTGATCACTCTCAGAGACAGCCTCCGTTAGGGGCTTTTTGAACTTAATTTCGCGAATGTCAGATAGATCACCGCTCCCAAGCTGGTGCTCTGTGCATTTTTTATTTCAACGAACGCACACAACACTAGCCCCATAACTGGGTCGCTTCCAAAGGAACGGTAGTACAACATTTAAAAAAGAAGTAGCCCGAAGGATGAAGCCAAGAGTGATCTCTAGCGAAGGATGAGCTCCTAGAATTCGAAGGAACCTTTAATGGATGATCTCTTCTGAACGTCCTCTCCAGAGGAAAACGGATTCAGTAATTTTGGTAGTAATATCGTCCAGAAACTGGAATCGACCTAGGATGAGAGGCCGAGAAGCGACAATCCATCCCTATCGGGAAACAATAGCAGTGAGCGTCCCACGAGGCAGACAGGACGAGAAGCGACCATCCCTATCGGGAAACAATAGCAGTGAGCGTCCCACGAGGCAGACAGGACATTGCGTTATTATTCTTTAATCACGCTGTCTGTCCCAGAAGCAAGAACTGCAGCTGGTAAAAATGGTCTATCGGTAAGCAGAAAACAAAGTGTATTACGCATCAACTGGCATGCTGTAGCCAGTTTAGTTTAGATGTGTACCATAACGGACAAATGATCGCTTCGATAACACCAGCCACACTGCTCTGCGGATATGATTGTGAACTTGCTTCGATGATCGGAAAAAACAGAGAGACCTGTCATCTAAACACTTAAACTATGGTGTTCGATCGATATGAACTACTGACATACCGAAATAGTGAAATAAGTGCAGGCCTAGACATTCACAGATCAAAATGAATTTTACAAGCTTACCAACTCCATATTGAATCTCACCACGGGGACAAGCCTCCTCGCATGCGACCAGAACAGGTCCAAAAACCCAGTCGATGTGTTACTGATAAGAACAATACGATGGAAATTGATTTCAAACCGGTTAACTGAAAAGTACTCAAACTCATCTGAATGCACGTAAGATCGAGTGAAAAACCAACTAGAGGATAGTGTATGGTGTTTTCGTAGAAGTGCACGGCAAACGATGCAGAGCAAGGCAGATCATTCAAAGCAATCCACTGTGGTCCTTCAGTAAGGCTGCTGACAAGCAAATATGGATTTTACATTTGCATTATCGGATGGACTAGCAGTAACCCGGTGCTATATGAATACGCTGTGGTATATGTTCTTTTTCATAGCTTTCCGTATCCATAGTCGGGGTACCGAGATGAAGAAAGAAAGAAAGAAAGAAAGCGTTCAGCTGTAACACCCTTCCGGTGCCTAGCTGCCATGCTACCCGAAGGAAGCACGAGGGCTGGGATGCTGCCAGGTTGCCCAAGCCTAGACAGGGGAAGTCGAGTGGCGGAGGTCGGATTCGAATCACGGACCTTCCGGTCATTAAATTCGGGCTCTAACCACTTGGGCCATCTCACTCGTGAGTTCATAACTGACCTAGACGGTGGGCATTAAACAAGATCCGATGAAGCCGAACCCAACCTTTCCACTTTCCGATTACAATAGACTGCAGAGAAAACTACCCAGCCCCGATCTGTCCTGGCAAGATGCGTCCAAACTGATCGCAGACAAGGCATACGACAGCAGCGTGGTTTAAATGTGGCCATCATTTGAAAGTCTCACACTGCTACCTCAATGTGAGTACACAAAAATTGATAGTGAAGGACAACAGTAGTCCCTATCTAATAAACAACTGAGTTTCAACTGACTGTGAATGACCAGAATCAGGAATTCAATGACGCTGTGTCAAAAGGGAGGCCCGTTTCTAAATCACAGTCGACTGTTCATGAAGAGTCCGAGCAAGTGACAGGGGTCGTCTGTACCATGAAATTCATCTAGGCATCTGCCCCATGTGTAGGTCATTTGGACCAGAGAACTGCCGCCTTAGTGGTCGGACTTGAATAATGCAATAATCACGCGGGCTTAAGTGATTAGAACTTCGGTGCAACAAGGTCAGCAAGGCCAAATGAGAGCAATCGGACTTGAAGCAGTCAGATCACATGTTACGAGTAACCGCATTACGAGGCAGACTCACTGTATCGATCACATATTCACTCTGTGATAGATTATGGAACAGCGAAACTACTTGTAATACTTGACTAAAAAGCTGCCTTTGACTTGGTGGATCGTCAGGCACTATGGTGGTGTATATGGAGCAAAGATTTTCTCCACAAGTCGTTGGTATCCATTAAAGTGCGTACGTCAACTCGAGTGGACTCGTGAAGGTTTACGGGAAGCTCTCACTTAAGTTCACTACATCAAGCAATGTAGGGCAGGGCTGTCCTCTTCAACTTCATTGCTGATACCATTATGGAACACTCACTCCTAGCCTCTAATGCCTTTTGGGTCGAAATGCTATAAGGGCGTTAGCTCA